TTATTTTATTCTAAAATTTAAAGTTTAAAATAAAATTATTTAAAATTCAATTTTATTGAATTATAAATTTTAAATTTACTGAACCTATAATTATTTAACTAAAATTTTATTAAGAATTAATGTACAAATACATTTATACAAAAAATACATTAATATGTACATGCAGTTTTAGTTATTAGAGAGGTTGGCAAGGTCTACCCATTCACTCAGACCTATAGTTCCTTTGTGCATACCTTCTACCAAATTATATTAATTCGGTTTCTTTACCTACGTGTTTCCGCCGAAGTATTATCATCATTATTTGTATACCTAAAACTTATGTATATAGGACGCATTTTTGTATAACCTATAAATAGAATGTCCCACTGTAATTAACTAATTTTAACATTAGTTTATGTAGTCAAATTAGTAAATCATGGTTGGACACCTGTATAGGACGTTTTACAAAGCCACTCCTATATGTATATATCCAAAGAATCCTATCTCTCTGGTGAAATTAGGTATACAATTATATATATTTGGATTTTTGATATCTTCTTTTTTTCCCTTCTTAGTCGCGTGTTTTATATTTCATTCTCTACGTGTTAAGATCTCAACTTCTTAGGGAATATAATTTTGGAGAACACGTTTGATACAATTGAAGGGATCTCCCAGTATACTCTTGTCTATTTCTTTATGGCTAATTATTAATCGACTAAGTATGACAGCTTTTATATTTGAATTACAGGCTAATTAAGTATTACTATTATTTACATTAAAGAATCATATTTAAGCATGTCATCAAAATTTTAAAAGTAAATTTTATATTATATTATATAAATTTTAAAAAATAATAAATTTATAGCGTTTGAGAAATTGTTTCATTAATAAATTTTCTATTATATTAATGTAGGATTTACATACGATAATGGTATGAGTGTAAACATGTTTTTATCAATAAAAGCACGATTAGCATTTGACTATTGTCGACGGTTGTCCGAAGAGATTAATGTTATCGACATGATTTTTTCGAACACACAAAATAAAATCTCATAAAAAATGACGCGCAATCATAATATTATGTTCGGGAACATTAAAATATACACAAACGTTTATCTCCTACACGTTTACGCATAGGTATGGTCCGTTGAAAATGCCATTAAAACCTCAGTCGTTTATTACCGAGCTCCCGAGACTGGTAATAACCGAGAGTCATGAAATCGAACGTTGTACAAGATTCTGAAGGGGAAAAGTTTTTCTTTATTCGTTTTTCTTCTTGTATAAATTGCACACAGCACGTTACCGCAAGACGCTTACATCAAAGCTAACACGTTAAGTCGGCCAAAGTTTCTGTTTAAAATTCAATCGGGTTGCAATTATTAACACACATAGCTGTACGCGTGCGAGATTGCTCGCGGCATAATAAAAGTCAAAACATTCAGGTAAATGTGCGATAAACGATATATCAGACTAAAGTAGTTAACTAATCAGCACAACGATATCCTAACGAAGATATACGGCCGTTAAGCTGTCGACCGTTAAGCTGTAGACCGTCGAGCTAGGCGATTAAAATCAAAGTCAAAGCACATGGCTCAGAATGCCTAACCGAATTCTTTTTTGTAAATTTTAACCCTCGGCCTTGATTGATTTTAAATTGTTTGCATGCAAAAACTCTCATGCAGTATAACTAATGCCCTCTTAACACAAAATAGTTTATTTATCATGCATAACAATTATGCATGATATTATTAGAATTACATTATGTATTTATCTTTACCTGTTAGAAGTACTACTCTGAGATTTACTAGCAGAAAATCGTCCCCCCAGACGTCTGAAAAGATGTGGCTCTGAAGTGGTACCATTTCTTCGACTATCCATAAAACTGTCATCTAGTAGAAATCTCGCTTTTTTTCTCAGCAACTGAAAAAAAAATTTTTATTTATCTGGAAAAAAGATTAATTTTTGAAGTATATAGTGTATAAGCGTATATACATCGAAATTCTAGGTAGAGCAATTGTTTTCTGATATCATTGACAATATTCAATTAGGCAAATGACATCTACTTTTCTGCTAAATTTTAAGTATTTCATTCTTTTAGACACAAAATTTAAGGAGTGTTGTAAAATACTGTTCTGAAATTATAGTTAGATCAGGCATTTTTTATTTTATTGTTTCTATTTAACTATTATATGTATTTATAATTAAATATATAAGTTGTTATTTAAAGAATTATAGTTGAAATCCTTATAGGATATAAGAGATAGTCCAATAAATTACTTGAAACCAGGGCTTGAAACTGTTTTCATAGCGTTATGATTAACGTTATAACTACCAAAAAACAATTGACATCATAAAAAAAATTGTGTATCGATTAACAAAAAATGTATAATAACAATTTAACTACAAACGAAATAAAACAATAATCAAAACTAAATAGAAAACGTAATGATGATTCGTTATAACTTATAAGACACAATGATTATAGGTAATATAAAGGGTGTTCAACAAGTCAGGAAACGGGTTTCTATTGTTCTCATTGACTTACTGAACACCCTGTATACCTGCGAACAACCTATTTTATCTCTTCATAAAAACTATGAGAGAAATTCTTGCACGCAAGCGATGGCGAGTAATTTCTAATAAAGTAGACAATTATCAATAACGTTTAAAAATTGAAAAACATAAAAAACGGTAATGTTTTAATATCAAAAAACGTAAACTATTAAAAATTCATATTTTTTAAATACTACTAAACAGAAAACACTATAAATCCGTAACGTTTTAACTGTTATAACGCATAAACAAAATAAATAATTTTGATTCAAGTTCTACATAACACTATAAAATCCAAAAAAAATATTTTTGATACTATTTATTTTTGTAAATAGATTAGTGGTTGGGTTAAACGAATTACCTGTAATATAAAAATTACATAATAATATTATTTAGTTGTATTTTCTATTTCATGAAAAGTGATACGTAAAAAAAAAATATGACTAAATTATGGTATTGTGTTGTTTTTTCTTAACGCGATATTCACTCAACTCATTCAATTCATTACAAAATAAAAGTAATATCCTTATTTAAAACGTAAATTTTATCGAATACTAATAATTATAAAACTATCATATATAAATTATTCATGAACGATAATTAGCTAAAATTAAATCATTTTTCCATATTTTATTAATTTAAACATTATATAATGCATACTTCCAAGATTTTATTATGATTAAATGCATATAATTTTAAACTTTTTAGGTGCTCCTTAATCCGAACTCTAATTATGACTCACGTAGAATATTATTATCAATTAACTATTTTCAATATTATAGTAGTTAATACATTTGTATTTATTTCTCCATAAAGTTTCCTTTGATCATTTTTCTCAATTAATTTAAATAATAACGATTTTGATTAATATCAACTGATTAATGATTTTGTATTTTTCAATAATAATAAATAAATACATTGAAAAGTCGATTTTTTAACTTTTTCTTTCTAATCATCGATATTATAAATAAAATAATTAACTTTAAAACTTGATCAATTGTTTGCAAATTTTTATTTTATATTATTTTTTGTTATAAATAATTAAAAAATTTTATTTTACATTATTTTTGTATAAATTATATATGTCTAAGAGTTCATAAAATAATATTTTTTTTATAATAATTTGATTCAACTTCAATTTACAACAATTGTAAAATATTTTAATAAATTATTGTGAGATTTTAACTAAACAAGAATATACAAAATTATTTGTCTACCGCAATGCAACTCTAAATAAATTGAAGTTAAAGCGAAATATTTTATATATTTTTTATATAAAAGGGACTCTATGTCACATATAAGAATATCACACTCTCGCTGCAATCAATGTTTCCACGAAAAGAACTTAAAATGTTAGTTATTTATATAAATTGTCAGAATGAATAAATGTATTGAAAATGTTTTTTAAATCATGAGTTCTATTATTCTTGTGAAACAAAACTTATTTTAAACACTTTTATCTAAATATTTTAAGACGTAAATTTGTATAATTTTATTCCTGTATGTAAGGCATTTAATTTCTATAAATATTTTCATTATTCTCAAATAATTTATGATTAATAAAATTTGTTAGATAAAATAGTGAGTAATGCGTTTATTTATAAAACTCGCGTTTTTATTTATAAATACTCACAAATAAAGATATTATTATTACTAAAAAAATGTTAAAAATGTAGAATTATTTACCTGTACGGTGAGAGCATACGTGACTACCATAATGATCATTGGTATGTAAAAAGCGACTAGTGAACCAAAGACAAAAAACGCTCTATTGTTTATAACGCACATCCCTGGTTCCGGCATGATGTTCTTAGGGTTATAAAGACCTGATAATTTAAAATAATTCAAAATTTAATAAACTTATACATGAAAACAAATTGTTTATACTTGTAAATCTCTTTAGTATTACACTTATAAAATAATTAAACATTTTAAATAAAATTCTAAAATCATTGAGAAAGTAAATTTAATAAATACACTCTAACCAAATCAATAAATTCAATTTATTATGCCATATGATTTTGTTAAATTTTTCGTTTCAATAAACAGAAGTTTATTTAAATATTAAATTCAACATATTTTTACTGACTACTATATAGTCAGTGTTTTGGAAAACTAAAACAATGACTAAAGTAAAATGAGAGGAACATTTCTGAGCTTTTATAAAAATAGCTATTCTTTTTGCATTTAACAATACACTGAAAGTAATAACAGTTATACATAATGTATACAAAGCAAATGTCTTGAAAAATTACCGCCATAGTAATAAAATAATGTTTTATTACTTTTATATTATAATAGTTTAAAATAAAATGTTTCATTTATTTGTATTATTTTATAATACGAATATTTTAACTACTATCAATTTTTCAGTTTTGATACGATCACATTTTGTGTTTGTATCTATTTCTGTTTAATAGATAGGTCAGTACATACTTTTATACAATACAAAAGTTCAGTAAGTAAGGGAAAAAGTCATTTTTTTAAAACAATGAGAACAAAAGAACCCCGTTTTGTTACTTACTGAATATTCTATATACATATACAGGATCCAATGACTAAGTAAACAGACATTATAATAACACATCGAACAGAAAAATGCGTTGCGAGAAGCAGTCCACATCTTAAAACTAATTAACGAATAATTATTAATATTTGTTTGTTTTCTATAATATGTAGGAATCGGAATAATATGACTTTATAAATTTTGTCAAGTTATTTCGAACACATCCTCAGTCAGTATAAATTTTATTGTCTTGTTAATTTAGTAGTGTGCTGTTATCAAGGTTACAGTTTTGTGGGAATTAGGGAGTTTATTCTACCCTAAAATAAAAAATATTTCTACGCCACTATACGACAAAGATGCGCAAACTCAGGGCCTTTGAAAATGGCTCAAACAAAATTTATAAAACATAGTATTACGACTTAAATTATTATTATCAATAAGTTTTAATCATTTGATACTATTTGATAAATTTTTGCTTTAATTGAATACAGATGTCTGTCATTAAATAATATTTGTAGATATTAGATATATATTTTTTTAGTTATTGATTAAGCATTAACTGCAAAGCTAAAATTAACAAAAAAATTATAATAGTTAATATTTACTTATTACGCACTAGTGATATAAGATAAATATTAAGAAAAAAACTATTCATAAAATTATAAAATGTTTTGTATTTAAAAATTGCTTCGAATTCCGCTAGTATAAAGGTTAAAGTAATAATTATTTTTTTCAACAAGCAATTTTAAGATCACTAATGTCTATATAAATTACATAAGTTATGTATAAACTAATAAATTTAATAAAATTGGAGTCCTTTTGATAATGTTGTCTTCAAAACAAGCTTAAGATCATCTGAAGGTGTAGGAGAACTCTAAGAAAAAGAAATAAACTTCTTAAATTAATTATTTTGTTATATAAAGAGCTCTTAAAAGTTATTACACCCTCAAAATTGCGTGTTCACTTGGTTTACAAATAATATGGAATATATGTATTATACATTTTAATATTACACAATTTAAAGTAAATATATACATAAATAATTTTTTTTTTTATCACTAAACAATTATAGTAACTATTGATAGAAATATTTAAATTTAATTTTAAAATTTTGAGTGTTTATATATAATTTATATTTGAAATATTTAAATTTCTTTTGTTCCATTAAATTATTTCACTATTTATTACATATCATAACTTGAGTATTGTCATTCAATAATGATCAGATGTATTCATGAGTTCAGTTAATTGTTGCTAATTCCGGACTCATTGTAGAATGCATTTTTGGATATACAGAGTGTTCAGTAAATAAGGAAACGAATTTCTATTGTACTCATTGTTTGTAACAATTTAACTGTTTCCTAACTTACTGAACACTCTGCATAGTTACAGACCCGAGGTTTATAACTATACCGCCAGCTTGGCTTATCTACTTCTTGTTTTCATACAGATAATCGACTGATTACCTGTACTGTTATTGTCGATCACTTATTGTGTTTCTTTTTTGTTAACTTTTTATTCGTTTTCACGTTTGGTGATTGTGTATTCGCTCCTTTCTGTTTTTCCTAGTACTTTGTTGATAAATTATTATTGAGCATTCATTGTTTTAAAAGGATTACCATAAATATGCTTTATCCTCGTTTATTTGATCGTCATCGGCTATTCTAACAGATCGTGTTGCCATTATATCTATAACTCTCATTTTCTGTGTGACCAACATGCGAATATCTGTCGATATTTTCTATGTATTTTTTGTATACTCCCATGCTGAATTGACGATTTTGCTGTTTCTTGATGAGTATAATAAAATAATAAAATACCAGGAACGATACTTATCCACTATGGAACTGTATGTTGGTATACTGTTATGATACTTAAAGAAACATTTGAATTGGTCTTCATAATGTTGTAGTAACAAAAATATGTAGTTTATAAATCGTAATCNCAGTAACAAAAATATGTAGTTTATATATCGTAATCACTAAAGATTTGTTTAATGAAAGGCATATAGGGGGCATGCATCGAGCATTGAAATTTTTGACACGTTTTATGATTGTTAAAAATAATTATTATTATTATTACTATGAAAAATGTATTAAAAATGACTACACTTATATTTATGAGAGAATATATCATTATATATTTTTAGATGTTAAAAGTAGCGTAAAATGCTTTGGTCTGATTATGAAGTGTTTGTTTTCAGAAATATATTGCTGAGGAAATTTCAGTCAAGTGGGAAACGTTTTTTACTTTATACATAGGGCGTAAAAATCATAAATTCAACTCTGGTAATCACATTTTCGTTTTTAAATCATAAGTTTTAATACTTCATATTCAAACCATTTCACAAATATGTTTGCGAAAACTAATGTTAGTTTTGATTCCGTCAGTTTGTTGTTGATGTCTTGATAAGTGGAGTCCGTTGCCTAGGTGTACAATAGGCTGAGTAGTTTTTTGTCGAGCCATTTTTTTTAATGTATTTAATATTCAATGTGGATTTACTAATATCCCTTCAATAAGGAGACTACATCAAAGCTGACTAGAATGACTCCGTCTCCCAATTGGTTTGCTGTAATTTTTTCATAAAGTGAATTGAGTTATTCACGTAGGAAGTCGTTTTTCAGATTGAGATTTTAATATTCCTGCCAAGTATTCTAGATTGTCAGAAAGCTAATGTCGCTGACAATCGGTCTGAATGGTATATCTTTCTTGTTTATTTTTTATGTATTTTGAGTAATCTTAATACTGTTACAAATAGTTGTCAATAATACTTTTAATGTATTCTATCGTATTTTTTTTCAAAACAAAAGAATTATCTAAACCTTCTTTGTAAAATTTGTCAGCATGTGGTTCGTCAGTTATTCCTCGGGCCAGTTAAAAAGTCAACACTCAACTGAACCAATGGATACATCTGAAAATATTTTAAATAATATCGAAATACATGAAATCTCTAACGCATTAAATATTTTTATTTAAATGTATAACATTAAAAGCGTATAAACTTTTTATTCAATTATCACAAATATCGATATAAAAATACACCAGTAAAGAAATAAAGATAGAATATTTTTATTTTGCTACTATAAATAAGAATACAAATACACTACACACTTTTGGTAAGAAAATATCTAAGAAAGAATTTTTTAGCTTAAGTGACGTTGATTGAAAAGTGATAAAACAAAAATAAAATAAAACTAAAACTAAAACTGTTCGTTTATAAATACGGTTGACTTAATTTTTGAAGGATTTTATAAAATTCGTATTCTTTAGGATTGATGATATTATGACTAAAAAATATTTGAGTCTGAAGACTTATTGAAGTAACTACAGTTACTTATAGTGATTTTTGATGTTTGAAATATCTTTTTTAAGTTAAATTTACACATGTCAAATACAAACGTTCGAAATTACATATATTAAAAAATGGCGATAACAAATACACTAATTATTAATTAATTTAATTTAATTAAACTACCATTGGCGTTTCAGGTTGAAATAGCTAAAGGAAAGTATTAGATGAAATATTCCAAATAAAAACAAAAATTGTAAAATGATCATCTTACTTTAACTTAAGGGAATGTTTACGCTTCAAAAAAGCTGGATACGTGTTTATTCTAATGTGTATGTAGTCTCCCTGAACATTTAAAAATATTCCAAAATTAACGAGCTTTAAAAAAAATATTGAGCACTTGAAAATTATTATTTAATATTTTATGACTTTAGTTGTTTTTTTAATAAATGGCAACATTATTAATAACTAAGAAACTCAATAAAACTTATAAGATAGTATTCATGTATTTTTACTAAGAATATTTCTAAAATTACTGGATAACTAAACAAAATATAAGATTGTTGAATAATGTTCATTTCATATGTAAATATATATACTTATAGAGTATAATTACTAGATAGAAGCTGCATGGAGAAATTCTCAAAAACATTTTACAATGACCCTAATTTATTTTATAGTGCAATATAATATATATATATTTTTTTTTTTGAAAAGAATGACTAGCACCGCAAGGTAAAAGTAACTATGAAGTGCTGTATAAGCACTAGCACAACCATTAATGACCACTCTCATATCTCACTGAAGTCAGTTCTTACAAAGAAACAACAACTTTAAGCTTACCGATCGGATTTCAAAACATGCCGATCATTTTTCGTGTTAGGATGTAACGTTCATAAGCATATTACTGCTTAACACGAAAAAGATTTTAAGATAAATAATTATGTTAAAATCAAGGTTTCAATATATCTTAATAGTTTTCTGAATACTTAAATTCATTTACAATATGCTTAGCGATGTTTTTGGCAGAT